CCCTACACCGCCGCCAGCCTGCTAGGGGTGGCCTGGCTCTGTGGGGGACGCTGGCCTACATGCTTTGTCACCTCCGTGACCGCAGAGATGTGGTCATGCAAGCAAGCCAGTCGGTTCCCCCCATCTGTAAGTGCTGCCACATATGCCTTGTTTTTCCATTCGGAAATTTATTGTACAGGTGGAGCTTGAGGCCCTGATTTACTTGCTTGAGGCTTCTGAATGTTTGGCAGGTTAGTCAAAGTGGTAGTTTGGTGTTGCAGGTGCCAGGCTGGTGAACCACATATGCCAGCTCAGGTGTGATGCTTACAAATAGTTCTTTACCGAAATATGACATACTATCCCATTCAAGAGGCAAGGCTGTCACATAGATTGGACTTTTTTAGTACGTATTTGATCAATCCTCCTCAGCAATACAGGTGGAGATGCTTTCACGTGCAACTTCACTGTCAGAGAAAGTTTCAAGATTATCAAAAAAGGATATTTCTGTGCCAGACAGTCAGAGCAGCATCCTCCCTCATTAGAAATACTGTTATGCGGCAAGTGTTCACATTCTGTGTTTTCATTCCACATCAGGCTATGGGCTTTGCACAGACACCATCCCAGAAGACAGATGGGGACATAGAAGCTAATAAAGCTATTTCTGCCCCCCCCCCCCGCGTTTTTGAGTGGAGGTAGAGTAACCTTTTTTGATAGATGTAGAATAAGGTCCGTGATTCATATAGTGTCACACTCACTCTCTACTTCTCAAAAAGATGGAACTGAGAAATGATACACATGAAATATGTGTATCTTGAAAAGATGAGAGAGACTATACACACAACATTGTTCCACCAATTCTGAGGAAGAGGGGTAGTTGCGTGGCCATGTTTCTCCACCTTCTGATATTAATGCTGTCTTCCAAGTAGTGAGGTAAATGCAAACAGTAAAATCTCCTTGGTCTAGACATTTTGAGACTGGGAATAGCAAGATTCTCTTTCTTTGGATAGTAGGTGAGGAAGTGCCTAGAGTAGCACCTTACCAGTTTTGCAATTAAGCATGAGATGATGTTACTTAGAACTCTTTCCTTAACACTACCTACAGATCCTTTCTAGATAAAGAGAATAAAACCCTTTATTTCTTGTCCAGAATGAAAGGCGTGAAACTTTTTTCTTTTCCCCTTTAATATTTACTCCTAGAAAGTTGGAATGTTCACAGAAAGTAGAATAAACCCTCTAGTAGGAAAAATACTTTCTTGTTAGGTGCTGCATTTGGGGGAAGGTGTGTGTAATTTTCTGAATAAAATACTTGGCACTTGATTCATAATAAAATGACTTGGTTTTTATTGCATTCTGTCTAGACCTCTGGAATATAAAGGAAAATCCAAGTAATTCTGATAGATGGCTAATAGCATGACCGTGTGTCACAGTAGTCAGTTCCATCTTGCTTTATTTTTAATTGCTCTTGTCTCTGAATCTTTTTGGAACTTCTTGACTCATTCGCTGAATGCTGTCTGTTTGGGGCAGGGATTGCTTTTATTGTGTTTATTTTCAGAAAACTTGCAACAAGTGTTCTTGGTCCCTAACAAAGGTCTTTAGTTGTTCTAAAACCAGAAACATTATAACAGACTGCAGATGTAATTTTAAGTCTTACTTGACTAGTACCAAATTATAAGTGCCATCCGCTATCTGAGTGGTGTTAAAAGTTTGTTCAGTCAAAGGAAATAATCCTTGTAACCGAAGTATTTTCATTATTGTTGGTCATGTTAGCAGTGATGTCAGGTATCAGTTTGTGCTTTGGAAATTGGCACATGTTTATCTTGTAAAACAGATTTATAACACTTGATGGATTAAGATAGGTCGGTAGAGAACAAAGGTGGTTGATGCAATTAATTTTTCAAATATTCACATTTAAAAGTGATTTGTAAATTATTTAATGTATATCATAAAATGTGACTGCCGGACTGGTACAGCACTAATGCAGTTATTAACTAAAGATGTTCAATAATGTGGCAATTTTGCTTAAACAATACTCCCAGTTGGTGCTGTCTGCTTTTCTTCTGGTTGAGTACATTTTAGTTGTACTGTGGAGGGTCTGCGGATGCCTGTCATAGGCCTGAATAACTTCTGCTTTTTTATACTTTACTTTTAAAATGTACATGCTGATTTATGTTATTTGTTTTCTAAGATGCTTCATGCCGAAAGTAGAGTAACTCTCTTGGAGTGTCAGGACGAAATCATTATTGAACCATGTTCTAAAAAAATGAAGTCGACAGAAGAGGCCTATGAGAACCTCTCTGCTGATGATAACGAAGGTATTCAGGAAGAAGTGGATACTGAGACAACATCGAATGACTTGATACCAGCTTATGCCTCAGATAGCCAAGGGCAACATGAAATGCAGAAGCAAGAAAAAATAGCTACACGTGTCTTGGGGACACTGAATAAAGTGCTCCCCGAAAATAACCTAGTTCATTCGGAAACTGTAAATCCTCAGTTTGCATCAATAAATGACACTAAAGCTGAAGAAAATGGCCCTTTTATTACAAATAATGCTGGTGAAGATAATATTAAAAATAGCAATACATCATTCTCAGTAAATAGAAATGCATCAGACGAAGATTTTTTTACAAGCAAAGAATTTATCGGACCAATTTACAGGCCGGCCGGAAGTAACAAACAGGACAAATCTGGCAGTTGCAGTGAAAGCAGCGAGGGAAACCAGAATGGATTGCATGAAAACAGAGCTAAAAGGAAGGAGGCAAAGAAGATGCAGACTATTTCTTCCGCTGTACCAGAAATAGACGATGAACTGGACCAGTTCTATAGAGAAATTCACCAGCTGGAAAGTGAAAATTTAGATACCAATTTTCAGCAAAAAGAAACTGAAACTTCTCAGGAAAAATGCTCTCCATATGACTGTAGGCAGATGTTACAAGAGGATCATCAACACATGTTGTTGGGCAGCCCACAACCATTTTATGAGAATGGACAGTGTTTCTTTGAGGAACAGAGCAGTGAGAAAACAAGCAACAAGCAGCAGTTTGTCGTGGAAACAAGTGACTGGAAAACTGAAAATACCTTTGATAGACAAGAGGATTCTAAATATTGGAACTACTCAGAGTCTGAATTCAGACCCGCTTGGCAATCAGCGGAGTCCTTCATAATACCTCAGGGATCTTTTCCTCCTAGATTCGACCATCAATCGCATTTTCAGATACTTCATTCCCCACCACAAAAACCTAATGTTCTCCCTTCTCAGAATGGTGACCTTTCTTACAAAAATTATCATTATTACCATGGAAATAGTGATATTAACAGTCATGGTCCATTGCTTGATCGAGGTATCAATGATGCAGGTCATACTGATACCCATACTACTCAGGTCTTCAGAAATGGAAATAATGACCAGAATGGACTGCAAAATAATGGTTTCTGTGAAACCAAAGAAGAGTGTTGGAAGGATCCAAAAGCTGCTGATACAGAAGGAATGCACAGTTTTATTTCATTGCAGTTAACTGAAGAAAGATCTAGTTGCTCACAGAAATTGCTCCTCATTTTAAGAGGCCTACCTGGTTCAGGGAAAACAACACTTTCTCGGTAAGTAAAGACTTAAATCTTGAGAAGCTTATTCACATAAAATTTTTAAGAATTAAAAAAAGTATCTGGAAGCATTTGCAAACTTTGGTATTTGTAGATTAGGCTATTAAGATGCAGTAATTCTTACTTAATTTTTAATGAAAAATGTCAGTAAGCATTAACAGTATTTGCTTGGAGTTTTGGTTTTCTTTACAGTTTTAATGAATAGGAGCTGGTTTGTGTTGAATTTAAGATGTTCTGTACCTGTTAAATTGCATAATCTTTTATTCTGAAACTTTCAGGTGTACTAGCATGTGATGTCTGCTTCTTTTTATTCTTAAATTCCTTCATATAAAAAAATCTTCCATCAAATCTAACAGCATTATTTTGAGCCAGAATTACTTTTTTTATGCCCATTCAAAAATCTTCAAAGACTGTTAGAAGAATTTTACTACTCTGGAAATACTTTATTTGTTTTCAGTGTGTTGATGAAACTGATCATAATCTCATCCCCTTTTTTTCATACTATGGTCTATCAGCTTCTCTGGTTGTTTGTTAACAATGCACAAGGAAGGTATTATTTTCCCTTAAAAATATACTGTTGAAGTCTGACTGAGTTAAAAGCAGGTACTACCTCCAATAGTTTAAAAAGTGTATAAGGTGCCATAGAGCAGAGACAGTGAGTCCTATACTATGTCATACTTAGAATCATAGAATCATAGAATAGT